TCATGGTCTCCTGGGGGCGGTGTGGGGGGGGGGGGGGGGGTAAGATTTTTAAACCGTTTTTGAGTCTCTTATGTTCAATTTGTTCAAATTTAGTATTACATCTCTTGCTCACCAATGGATCCTCTGCAGTGAATGGGTGCCATCAGAATGAGAGTCTAAACAGCTGATAAAAGCAATAATCCACACCAGTCCATCAATTAACATCTTGTGAATTGAAAAGCTGCACGTTTATAAGAAAACAGGCATTCTAACTTTAAACCAATGCTTCTGGCCAAAATACTAGTCCATAATCTATAATAATGCTTCCTCCAGTGAAAAAGTTCATCCCTTGTTGTCCTCTCACCTCTCGATCAAAATCTACCAACATATTTGTTTTCACTTGTAAATGGTGCTTGATCTGTGCATATTTCTCTCCTGAAGCAATGATTCGAAGTTAAAAACGTCTTGGATTGGTTTCTCACAAACAGTTTTTTGCTTCACGGGATACTAATTAATGGACTGGAGTCATGTGGATTACTTGTGGATTATTGTGATGTTTTTATCAGCTGTTTGGACTCATTCTGACGGCACCCATTCACTGCAGAGGATCCATTGGTGAGCAAGTGATGTAATGCTAAATTTCTGCAAATCTGTTCTGATGAAGAAACAAACTCTACTATATCAACTTCATTTTCAGCAAATTTTCATTTTTTTGGGTGAACTATTCCTTCAATGCATCATTTCTGAATAAAAGTATTCATTTCTTTCCAAATAAGTCTTACTAACCACAAACTTTTGTATTAGCATTTTAATGTACCATAAGTACCTTTGTGGTGAAGCTGAGGTTGAAATCTCCAGCACAGCTACAGTACAGCAGCATGTTTGCTTCCTTCACTCCTTTGCATTTGGCACATTCCTATGATGGGATAAAGTGCCATTTACATAAGTGAACTTCAATGGATGTGCATATCCATTATACTAGGACATTTACCACTCAAACATTTTCCTTTTCCAAATCCTCTGAGAGCATCAGAAACATGGTAAATAATGCTGTTTGTGTCTCTCACCAGGTCTTGTAGTGTGTAACTCATGAGCTTCTTCTGGAGCGCCTCCACCAGGGCCATTTCTATGGACTCTGTGTCGTATTGGGCCTGACAGTTAGAGCAGAACCACTGAGGAAGAACTGAACCATCCTACATGGGTAAAAAAAGAAAGAAGAGCGAGGTGAGAATATTATAGCCTTTTTTGGCTAGCTTGATCACATGACAAATGTCTAAACATGGGAAAACACCAAGAAGTATTAGCTTAAAAAAACCCCTCTGGAATCCATTAAGCAAATGTAAATATGAATGAGTAGCAAATCTTTAACCACAAGTTCAAATAAGAGATAAACTGTAACCAGAGTCCTGTTGTTACCTGGGAAACTGCAGGGTCTTTGCAGAGGTCAAGATCACGACAGAAGTTACAGTGGTGGCAGATGACCTCGGGCAGGACGTAGGACTTGCAGGGGTCACGGAACTGGGCATCCTCTGAGAATTCTCCAACATCCACCAATCGCAAAAGATCTCGCTTCAGTTTGTTCACCTGATTGACAATGTTGGCGTCCAGAGAGAGCACCTGAAGGGACATTACAAACAGAAACAACATCACCGAGGTGTGAGGACTTTGTAAAAATGTACTTTTTCCAGTTTAAAAGTTTGTGGTCAGCCAAAATGTTTTTTTTTTTTTTTTTTTGAAAGAAGTCTCTTATGCTCACTAATTTATCTGATCAAAAATACAGTAAAAACCGAAATATTGTGATTTCTTTTTTGCAATTTCGTATAACTGTTTTCTATTTGAATGTAATTCAATTTATTCCTATGATGCAAAGTTGAATTTTCAGTAGTCATTACTCCAGTCTTCAGTGTCACATGATCCTGATTCAATGCTTAAGGAACATTTCTTATCATTATCAATGCTGAAAACACTTGCTGCTTAATATTTTTGTGGAACCCGTGACACTGTCATTATTGTTACAACTTTATTGTAGGAGCTGGAGTTATATGTTGATACCTGACAGACGTATTTAATAAACTCCAGAGCAGGGTTGTTGAGGGGCAAGTGAGAACCAGGAAGAACAGGAAACATCTCAGATGGGAGCGTAACACTACGAGTGCTCGACACTTTCTTCTGAATCTTCTGAGTGATGGTGAAGAAGTTCTGTGTGAGTTCACTTGACACATACTCCTGAGAGAATGTAATCAAACCTACAACACCACAAAGACAAGAAAAATAAAAACATTTTTAGTTTTATATGTACTTTTTTTTTTTTTGCTTGCAAAACATTTGTAACATTTTAATGCACTCATAAACAAATAACTCATTACAAAAGCACTCAATATTTGCAATAGACTATGCTGAATCATTTTATGCCTTACCAGGAAGTGCACTGACATCCCCAGTTGGCTGCTGGGACGCTTGGGTCGCTCCTCGTCTCTTAATAGGAGTAGCACCAGGGGCGTTTCGCCGAAGCTCTTGTCTCATGCTGTGATAGACAGCTGCAATGTAGGCTGAAAACAACCAACCAATTATAATGAAATTATGAGAAATTATAATAAAATAGAGCAGCGCACACACACACACAAAAAAAATCTAATTGTGCATTTTCAGGACAAACAAATAAAACCTGTAATGTTACCTGAAATGATCATGAGAAAGTATTTCTGACAGGATGCTGTTTGAGGAAGATACTGCATGATGTTCCAGTTACTTTCAATCAAGTCTTCTACATCCTCTTCCCCATCCTGTTCTTCATCCTCCCCTTGGTTTTCTTCATCTTCATCCTCATCCTCACTTCCATCCTCCTCTTCTCCATTCTTCTTTTTCTTCTTTTCATTGTCATGCTAGAGTGGGTGGGGGGGAAAAAAGTGTTGAAACTCAACTTGAATAGTACAAATGCCAACCATTTTGAGTTATTTTACACAGAAAAACTTGTAAAGAACAACAAGTGGTTCCTAAGCCCTGTGCTTTACCTCTCCATACAGAAGGCTCGAGGGCAGCTTTCCCTTCACTCCTCCACAGTTAGCTGGATCCATCCACAGCAGAAACTCCCAACAGCGTGAGAATGTGATGGACAGAGAGTGGAAGATCTCCTTTGAATGGATACTAAAGCCGAGACACAAGACAGGAAGACAAACAGTAAACAGAAAATGTATCCAAATAATCTAATACCAAAGCCTGGACTTCAGACTTTCACATTGCATGAGAAACTAAGTTAAAAGTCTATACGAGAATGAAAAAAAAAAAAACATGTATAAAGGTTTAAATCACCTGTTAGTGATGTACTCCACGTATGCAATGGCGTCATCAATGCGCCGTTTCTTGGTGCAGAGGATGAGTCGGTTGAAGTTTCCATAGATCACAGATGATCCCAGGCGCTTGAACTCTGCCACAAGTCTGACGTGTTTAGAATAAGAAGTGTGAACAATACAAGTAGTCATTCTGTGGCTCAAACAGTAGTGCATTAACTGATAATGTATACTTTGAAAGTTGCTTTGGGCAAAATCATCTGCCATGCTAAATGAATAGATGTAAAATGTACATAATACAATATTTATAGGAATAGTTCAGCCAAAAATGAAAATTTACTAAATTTACTCGCCCTCAGGCCATAAAAAAAAAAAAGAAGATACGTTTGTTTCTTCATAAAAACAGACATTTTACAACACTTGCTCACCAATGGATCCTCTAAAGTGAATGGATGCCGTCAGAATGAGAGTCCAAACAGCTGATAAAACATCACAATAATTCAGTCCAACTCCATAATTAAGACTAAAATACAAGTCCTCTATCCCATAATATTGCTTTCAACAGTGAAAATGTCCATTTTGTCCAAGTTGTCCTCACAACAAAATCCACCAACATATTTCAGAACTGTTTTGGAATGTTTTCACATGTAAATGGTGCATTTCTCTCTCGGCCATAAAAAAAAAAGAAGATACGTTTGTTTCTTCATCAAAACAGACATTTTACAACACTTGCTCACCAATGGATCCTCTAAAGTGAATGGATGCCGTCAGAATGAGAGTCCAAACAGCTGATAAAACATCACAATAATTCAGTCCAACTCCATAATTAAGACTAAAATACAAGTCCTCTATCCCATAATATTGCTTTCAACAGTGAAAATGTCCATTTTGTCCAAGTTGTCCTCACAACAAAATCCACCAACATATTTCAGAACTGTTTTGGAATGTTTTCACATGTAAATGGTGCATTTCTCTCTCTCAGCTTTTTGCTTCACAAGACATTAATTGATGGACTGGAGCAGTGTGGATTACTTGTGGTTTATTGTGATGTTTTTATCAGCTGTTTGAACTCTAATGCTGACGGCACCCATTCACTGAAGAGGATCATCTTGGCCTGAGGGTGAGTCAATTTTTAGCAAATTTTCATTTTTGGGTCAACTATTCCTTTACAGTAGCATTTTTGCTTATGTGTCATTTCTAAACAACCGATATAAGGTTTTGGGCTTCATACTGACATTTTTCAGCATTGATATACAGCAGGGTTCCTCAAATCTTGCCCTGGAGGGTCAATGCGCTGCAGAGTTTAGCTCCAACCCTGACCAAACTCACCTAACAGTGATTTTCTAATGATCCTGAAGACATTGATTAACATGCTCAGGTGTGTTTGATTAGGGTTGGAGCGAAACTCTGCAGGAAAGTGGATCTCGTGGCCCAGATTTGAGGATCCCTGATATACAGCAACTGGAGACTTAATCTCATGCAAGTGTAAATTGTAAACTTTTTTTTTGCTCAATTGTATTACTCATTTCTTTAAAAAAAATACCCTTAGTAATGCACCTTTAAATAAAATGCAGTTACAATGAAAACTAAAAAGCTACTTTAAGACAAAATTCTGAAACTGTAGATGAAGTAATAGAGCAACTTTCTTTAACCCCAAACAACAAAGTTGAAATATGAAACTTCTGTGAGCTGTACTCACTGCAGGAAGATCTTCTTCATCATGTTGAGGAGGGTGCGGTGCAAGGCCGGGTCGTATAGCAGAGAACTGGGTGATCGCAACCACCGGTAAAAATGCATCACCTGGTTATCAGCGTAGATGTTATGATACTGCGTAATCTCTCGAACCCAACCAACAACCATACTCTTCAGAATCCTGCATGAGGACAGAAAATAGTGAGAACTCGTTTGTACAGTTTTAAAAAAAAATTGATTATTAAATTGATTTGATTAAGTTTGGGCTTACTCATTTCTACATGCATACCTGAATGTGTTGGAGCAGAGTGCCGTCTCATCATAGCTGGCCACTGCATTTGCCCCCTGATTCCCTGACATCATTTCCTCCAGAGACGCATGCTGAATGACATCAAAGCTGACGCCCATGCTGGCCCCGCCTTCCATATCGTTAACATGCTGGGACTGTAGAATGGTGTTCACTGCCAAACTCTGAATATCCAACTCCACACAAACTGGAAAAACCCCAAGTACTTTACAGACATACTTTTTTAAAAGCCATCAAAAAAAATAAAAAAATGACTGATATTCAACTTACAACCATATTTGTCTGAGGCCATTTGGTGGTTTGCAAATACCAACAATACTCATGGATAAAGTAACTTATTTAAAAGTATCTAGGGCTGCCACTAATGACTATTTTTATTTTGATTAATCTATTGACTAATTTATCGATTAATCTTATCGATTAATTTCACACACAAAAAAATCAACAATTTCACTTAAGAATATTTTATTAAACCAAATGAAATCCAAATTTCTATGAAATCCTTTTTTTAAAGCAAAAAGTAAAGTGCAACATAGCGTGCAAGAAGCAAGTGTCCATCTCATAGTCCAAATCACTGAAATCAAAGTTCAGTATTATAGTGTAAGAATGACAACATAATATTAAAATTATAATCAAAAAACACTTTTTAAAGGAGTATTTACCAGAATTTATCTAGGAGAAAAATATAAATGTGCAGTATTCCTGAATTTTTTATTTATTTATTTATTTAAATAAAATCAATTAATTGGAGATGCTTCCTATAATTATAATAATTTTTTTTTGTGGTAATAAAAATAGAAGTGAACAATAGCCTTTAATATTACTTAAATACATATATAATAGCAATGAGGCAATAATAATTAGTTCAAATAAAGTATCAAAAGCAAGAAATCATTTGGTTTTATTGAACAAAACTGTTAAAATACATAATGTATTATAAACAATAGAGCTAATGTACATTACGCATTACAACAAAGGCCTGCAGAGGGCGCCAACGACCTGATGATTATTTTTACACATTGCTGCGCAATCTAATCCTCGTTTAATATTGACCAAGCACCCCTTAATTCAAATGTCCAGTTAATCTTTAATATTTGGCCATTTCTTTAGGACAGAAATGCTATAGCCACTGTAATTAAAAGAATATGTAAGGTTTGAGCATTTATTTTGAAACCGCAAGATAATTATGTATTCTCCTGTGTTTGCGTGGATTTATAAACCATTTACCTTACAAATCTGACGAAATGGCGCAAGTTGCGTTCCCAGATGAACGTTATAATAAACCCAAACTCACAACAACACGCAGAGATGGAGTTTGAGATGCTCCACACATGTTCCTGTGGAACTACTGTAAACGGAGCCGCTGTGTGACGCATGTACTTAACCTACACGCATGTAAATAATTAAAGCGCATATACTGTATCAGAACTGCATCGCATATAATTATTGAATTAAATCGTAGTGTTTATGAATTCACAATTATGCTTAATTATGATTTTTAAATGGGTTTAATATATCGTGCAGCCGTGGGAAACGGTCTAATAATGTGTTTTATGGATTCTCGTCCATGAAATGCGCCACTTTTTATTTTGCCAGAACAAAATTTAGTCGAGGATTTAAAAAAATCGAATAGTCGAATAAAATCGACAAATCGCGACAGCCCTAAAAGTATCGTTTGGAGAATTCCTCATGCTTTCAAAGAAGCGCTTATATCTCAAGTGACAAATGTAGCTCATCTAAAAAAATTAATAAATAATACATTTGTGATCACTTATATCACAAAAATTTACATAAATACAATGGTATCAGTGATTATTATTAACTTGTTATTGTTGTTAACTAAAACCATATTTTTTTGTTGCTTTATAAAGAATAAATGTTAACTGAAATTATTACTAAAAATAAATTAAACCTATTTTATTTCAGCTAGCTGCAAGGAAACATTTCTCATTTTCATATATTTTAAATTATGTACTAAAATGACAAACAAAAACTATTAAAAAAGACAAAAAATTTAACAAAATTATTAAAACTTTAACTAAAATTAAAATGAAAACAGGGGGGGAAAAAACTAATTCAAACCATTAAAAAAAAACTATAATGGTATCTCAATTAAACTAAAATAACACTGATTTTTATTAATACAATATTTATAATGCATATTATGTTTATTATTGTTGTAGCCTTATGCTAATGTAGTTATTATTATTTAACAAATCAGAGATAAAACCATAACAACCAGTGGATATATAGGTTACACTGTAATCATCTGCTACAAATACAATATTCTTGCAGTGTCTTTAATATCTGTTGTTCTCTTGTTTATTATTATAATAAATACTAATTAAGTCAGCAATTATATTATAAATTTTTATTGTTAATAAATGTAAGTCAATGTTGTTGCTAGGCAGATTTCTACATTATAATGGACTGTTTGTCCTAAAGGATGATTTAAGCAAATCTACATGCAAGATAATAATATATTTTCCCTTACATATTGGCTTAAATTTTTAACCAGCTGAATGGGATAGCACAAAATTAACTTATAGTCAAGAATGCTTATCACATAGATCATGCACAGAATTGGTGGTGAAAAGGTTATAAGCAGACCTTTTTGCAATTAGATCCCTCTTCTTGCTTGGGCACTTTCTGATTGACATAAAACACTCGTGGGATGTTGAGTTTCATGCAGTGCAGGTCACTGCCAATGACCGCCCACAGCTTATAAAGACCCGGGTGATTGGTCTCTGCAATCTGGAGGAAGTGGATAGCGAAACACATCATGCGTTGATAGTACTAAAAAACAAAACTGCTGTCATGTTTCATAGTTCATGACAGATACACTACCATTTTTTGAGAGAGAAAAAAAAAAACTTATTCAGCAGGACATTGTGACAACATGTGACAGTAAAGACTTTTAATAACGCACCTTACCAGAAGCATTTGCCCATTTCCCGAATTTCATCAGTTATTCTTTGTTCATTTATGTTTTATCACTCTTGGGGTCATCTTTTTGTTTATTTTGATTTGTTTCCTATTCTTTGTTGTTGAGTTTTGAGCGCACAATAGTTTCAAGCTAAATTGTAGAGCTTACCGTGTCAAGAACAAAGATGCTGGCTTTGCGTTGGGATGGTATGAAGAGGCCAAAGAGAGCCTTATGGCCTTGACTGTGATGGTACAGGTAGATGTGCCTTACACAGCCTGTAACACATAAAACATACAATATTTAACCCCAACACCTTCAAGCACATCAGCCACCATACAGATGCGTAAGCATTGCTACAGTGTATGCATGAATGTTGTAACCAATTACTAAATTTTTTTTTAAAACAAACAAAAAAAATACACTAAGTGTTTACGTCACCTGGCTCGAGGTAGCTGAACTGGGCCAGGGATCTCATCTCTAGGTGCTCCAGGTCAAAGGAATCAGCCTCTCTGCCAGCCAGGTCTCTGACCACCTGTTTATTGACCATACACATGCAACCCAGCTGGACCAGAGCCCGGAACAGCAATGGAACCTAGAGGGTCACATGGAAAGGGCAAGAGACAGATATAGGTAAATGACCTCTCTTGATACTACAAAATAAGGACAATGGACAACAGAGCAGAAACCCGCTCTGGAAATCTCTATTTGTAGAACACCGTATTTAGAATATTCCAGGCTTTCTATCAAAATAAAGACACCACGACATTCATAGAAAGGCCCTTACCTGTGTCTCATAGACACCCTCAATATCAGGAGCAGAGAGGTCAGCATTGATCTCATTGATGTGTTCCTGGTACATGTCCTCAGGAACTGCATACTGGTACAGGTAGTACACCACACCAGAGCGTGGAAGTATCCGGTTCACCTGTCATTTAAATGGATCAAAATGAAAAATGTATTATAGCTATAATTATAAAATACGAAAATGTATTCTAGCTATAATTGTTTATTATTATAATAAATACTAATTAAGTCAGCAATTATATTATTAATTTTTATTGTTAATAAATGCAAGTCAATGTTGTTGCTAGGCAGATTTCTACATTATAATGGACTGTTTGTCCTAAAGGATGATTTAAGCAAATCTACATGCAAGATAATAATATATTTTCCCTTACATGTTGGCTTAAATTTTTAACCAGCTGAATGGGATAGCACAAAATTAACTTATAGTCAAGAATGCTTATCACATAGATCATGCACAGAATTGGTGGTGAAAAGGTTATAAGCAGACCTTTTTGCAATTAGATCCCTCTTCTTGCTTGGGCACTTTCTGATTGACATAAAACACTCGTGGGATGTTGAGTTTCATGCAGTGCAGGTCACTGCCAATGACCGCCCACAGCTTATAAAAGCCTGGGTGACTGGTTTCTGCAATCTGGAGAAAGTGGATAAAGAAACACATCATGCTTTTTGATAGTACTAAAAAGAACAAAACTGCTGTTATGTTTCATAGTTCAGATTCACTAGCATTCAAAATATCTGCATAAACATATTAAGCAGCAAAAATTTTCAACATAAATTAGGGTGACCATATTATCGTTTTCCAAAAAGAGGACAGTAGGGGGCAGGGTTCTTGGGTGGGGCTTCGCCTAACTAAACATAGCAAGGTTTTTTTTGTTTGTTTGTTTGCTTATTTTGTTTTTATAATAAATAAAAAGAAAACAAGTAGAAAGAATAGAAAAATTATAGGGAATGCTAGTGTTAGAAGGTTATTATTTATAATAAATAAAAAGAAAATAAGTGGAAAGAGTAGAGAATGCTAGTGTTAGAGGCTCTTTTTTCTTTATAAATAAAACAAGTAGTTAGAATAGAAATAGAATAGAGAGTGCAAATGTTAGAGGGTCAAGTTAAATAAAATAAACAAGCAGATAAAATTAGAAGTAGCATTAGAATAGAGAGTGCAAATGTTAGAGGGTCAAGTTAAATAAAATAAACAAGCAGATAAAATTAGAAGTAGCATTAGAATAGAGAGTGCTAGAGTTAGAGGGTCAAATGAATATGAAAGATGTGTTTTCAGCCGTTTCTTGAGAATAATAAGGACTCCATTTTTTAGCCCAATTTTGCGGAAAAAATGCAGACTTCGCAACCCTGCATCCAATAAGAGCTGCAGGAGTCAGAACAGATCCTGAGCTCATTGACAAATATCTGATCTTGTAAGATGTGCTCCCTTTACACAAAGTGCGTGTGATGGCGAAATCGAAAGTGAAAGTAAACAGCTCAGACGCTCATTCAAAAATATTTAAATGCACCACATCCTGAGAGCGGCTCCCCGATGCGCCAAAATCATATACAATATTAGATTGTTTAAAAGAGTGGACACGAAAATCGCGGGAGCGAAACACATGTTGTGGAAGCAGGCGGCAATGGTCAGAAATTCAGTGTGATTAAGAAAACAGCCGAATCCCAGACATTTTGGGCAATTAAGAAATCCCGGCCGGACGCATTTTTGTAGGTCCAAAAAGAGGACATGACCGGGGAAAAGAGGACGTATGGTCACCCTAAATAAGTGATGTTACTTGAGCACCAAATCAGCATTAGTATGATTTCTGAAGGATCATGTGACACAGAAGACTGGAATAATGGCTGCTAAAAATTTTGCCTTTACAGTTTAAAATCCATTCAAAAAGAAAAGCAGTAATATTTAATATTTAACAGTATTACTGTTTTTAATAATATTTTTGATATTTGCAAATGTAAGTAAATGCAGCTTTGGTGAACATAAGACACTTCTTTCAAAAACAAACCTTTGAACAGTAGTGTACTGTATGTTAGATCTAAACGGCTAGTGTGACGTACCTGTACAATTTGCCAGGGCATGTCTAGAATACTGCGGGCGGTTCTCCGCAGGAAGCTGCCCAGCCCTTTTAAAATCCATTCAAAAAGAAAAGCAGTAATATTTAATATTATTACTGTTTTTAATAATATTTTTGATATTTGCAAATGTAAGTAAATGCAGCTTTGGTGAACATAAGACACTTCTTTCAAAAACAAACCTTTGAACAGTAGTGTACTGTATGTTAGATCTAAACGGCTAGTGTGATGTACCTGTACAATTTGCCAGGGCATGTCTAGAATACTGCGGGCGGTTCTCCGCAGGAAGCTGCCCAGCCCTGTCGTTGGTCCATCTCGGATTACACCACCCCCAGTCGGCTGAGATTCCCCATCAATCAAGCGGCGTCGCTTCCGCTGTTCTTTCCTCTGACGAAGCTGCAGTTCCCATTTTTTCTTATGGTAGCGCAACCAGACAAGAATTTCCTCCTATACACACACATAAATACAAATACATTTGCTGTGGAGCCTTTCTTTAGATTAACATCACAGAAATGCTATAACAAAATAGAATATCTGATCATATGTACAACGTTGTCTGAATTACCCGGGTGGCGCCCATAGCTGGTGGTGACCCCAGTATTTCTCTCCAAGACTGTGTGAGTTCTTGCTCTTGAGACTCAGCCTGGCTCTCCTGTCCTTGAGATATCCTCTTCCTCTTTGTGCTGATGAGTATGGCGGGCTGCATGGGGCGCTGAGGAGCACCGAAGTCCTCCATATCAGGGGTCTCACCTGCTGCTAGCGTTTGATGGGCCACCTGAAAGAAACAGAATGTGCGCATATAGAAGCAGAGACAGCGAGTTGTGTGAAAGGTATGTGAGACAGTAAACCTACCTGTCTCTTTCCCTCACTGGTAAAGAGCTCACTGATCTTCTTCTGCTTGTAGATATCATTCTTTTCCAGAAGCTTCTTATGCAGCCAGTCTGGATGCCGTACTCGGGGTACTGGATTTTTCACCTGAACAAAAATAGTAACCGTTTAGAACATGGAACTAAACACAAGAAAAAATTTATTCAAATTCAAATACAGCTAACTATAATAAACACTATTTTTTCTCTCCACACTTAAAATTCTGACAATCAGAACACTGCATAATTCATGTACTGTTTTATAGAGTGGAATTCTGCTCCAATGAGACTTCAGAGTTGGCAGGGCAACTCAGCGCAACAGAAACAGAAACCAACAAAATGCTGCCTGTTTTGGTCCTGGTTAGGTCTAAAATGTAAAGATAAGGACTAAAATGGAGAGATAAGATTTAGTGCTTGATTCAGCTGGTTAGAACAAGGACTCACAGGGGTTTAAATGAGTGGAGGTTTATTTACCTGCTGTAGAGCTGCAGGGATAGTGATGATCTTCTGTATGGCACTGCCCAACCGCTCAATGTAGTAACCCCAGTCCAGAATCTTACATGGGAAAGGAACAGACCAGATATGAAAAATAGTAAACATAATAACAATAAAGATTATAACATTCCCAAAATAAACTCACAGATCTAATATCAAGATCATAGAGACTGGGCATCTTCAGCCACTTGCGTAGAAAATGCTTTTTAACACTCTCTTCAGCCTGAAAAATTGCCAGAGGGATCGCCCTGTGTGAGGAAGAAAAAGTAATTAATATAATTATATATAAATAATTTATATTTAATTGTATGTACATTATAAAATACAGTAATTTTGTGAATTATTACAATTAGGGCTGGGACAATAAATCGATGCATCGCGTTTCGTGGATCGATTCTGAGATTTTCGGAATGCATCGTGATTCTCTTTCGAACCGATTCTGAGCTTAGTTTTTAACAGCAGATGGCGCTCTAGGCTAGTTTTTAACCACACACTCAAATGCTCACGAAGAAGAGCGCTTGTGCATTTGGCTGAGTAATGCAAGTGGTTAAATGTACTTGCACATCGGCTTTTATTCAGCCAAAGCTGAATTTTCAGCAGCCATTACTCGAGTTTTCAGCATCACACGATCCTTCAGAAATCATTCTAATATGCTGAATTTGCTTAAAGAAATATTTCTTATCATCAATGTTAAAATCAGTTGAGCTGTTTAAGATTTTTTTCAGGATTATTTGATGAACAGAAAGGGGGAAACAGGAAAATACATTCTAAATGAGACTTCAGGAAATTAGTTAGTAGAAAAATAAATGTTTTCCAATCAGGTCAATTCCCGTGTTCTCACCTTTCAGTGACTGGTGAGCCCTCCGGTTTGCGAGATATGACATAGCGACAGCTGAGGCCGGCATCCTTCACCATCTGATCTCCAAGGAATTCGGCAAGACGCTTGGCTGTGCTGATGGAGGCCACAGTTTAGCTAAATCAATGAAACTGAAAAGGGATGGATTAATAAAACGTCCTCTAGGCTTGCCGCGATATACGGTGCTGACGGTGATAACGTTATTAAGCCGCAACACCAGTTACGTCACTTGCCCACCGCAGCACCGTATCGTTTTGATTTTTTTTATAGTAATAAGAGGAGAGTGAGTCGAGCTGACTGACAAGAAGAGTGGGGTGAGACAGACAAGACGATCGCGGATGATTTAGTTTCGAAACGAAATGCAAAAGCGCCTGTTTGGCAATATTTTGGATTTTGAAAAGCCTGTTGACTTTTGCCGTTTACCTAAGGTGATTTTGGAAGTTTTTTATAAAACATTCTTTTCTTATTTAATTGGTTCCACATTGTTTGCTGATTTTTACTTTATTTAAACTTTGTGTCATTTATTTTATTTGACATTCGTTTTGCTAATAAACGTTCTACGTTTTTTATTTATTTGGTTATATATTATAGGCTACATGTTTACTTATTTCCAGTTTTGTATACCTATTTAACTTTATGTAAGTTATTTGTTATTTTATATTAGGCATATGCCCTATAGCATGGTGTATTTTTATTTGTTTTGTTAATAAAAGTTCTGTTTTATATATAGGCTAAAGTGAGTTTGACGTTGTATTTTGTTGTTGCATTCAAGCAACTGACGCCGAACTGCCGCTAATTCAAAAGTGAAAGTAAAATGCGCACAGTGCTTTTAAGCTATTTAAAAGCGAAGGAAAGTGAGGAAAAGAGGGAACGCCCCCGCCCCCGCGTTGATACCGGTATTGTCACACGTCGATTAACCGGTGGGAAATTGTCCTCACCGTCACAACCCTAATGGCCTCTAAACATTTTTTCCCTATGATTATAGAAATACATTTATCTCTTTATTAATGTGGCAATGCTGCTCCCCTAATGCAAATAATCTATATGTTAAATCTATATATTTGTTTTAATAATAATCTCATGTAATAAGTAGCTTCAGTAGGCTGAGGTTGACTATTAAAACAAAATTAACAACTATATAGTATTGTTTTTTTAAATATAATATTAATACATTTTTAAGAATAATACCGACACTAAAACTGATTACATGAAGTCTCTGGACAGTTTTATTACAGCTTTGTATATGTTCCCTGCGCAATTTGATGTAACATGAATACAGCATTATTTTTACTGCAATATATTTTTACACTTGTATTGCCAAAAGAACTGCAGCGTTACCACTTACTAGGGCTGTGTTCGATACATTGATACGACGATGTATCGTCACAGGCATTTGACGATACGGGTATAGATACAGCTGTTTCAGTATCGATATCGCAGCACGTGCGCAGCAGTTGAACCATGCTTTATTTGAATACAAGGTACAGCGTTTAAAAACGGAATTGAAAAGTGCAAGGTTTCTAAAAAAAATAATGAGTATAATATATAGGCTACAACAAGGTTTAATCTGGCCGCAGAGGAACCTAACTGGGTTGCCCGACATAAAGAGACGTAATCCCCGACAGAGCTTCACACTCATGCAATACAGAATTATCTGATAAGTAGGGCTGCACGATTAATCGAATGCGATTGTCATGCGCATTTTGATAGTAATGCCGTCTCTGTAATCAGCGGGAAATCATCACATGCTTTCAGATGGAGCCGAATTTACTACACATAGCCGTAGTTCACTGACAAGTTGCCCCCCCCAAAAACACAATTTTTGCTGATGATTTTATTGCGCGATTATGAAATCGAAGAAATCGTTTGCGATTATGAAAGCTGTTTGCATAGCTTCTCAGTGAACTATGGCTCTGTGAAGTAAATGCTGCTTCATCTGAAAGCATGTGAAAATACCACATTTAATAATTTTTTTACTCCAAACTCACTTCCTAATGTCAGTCGAGTGTTTGAAATAAATCCTTCTGTGAGATGATGTGGCTTCTTACACAGAATAAGGCACGCCACATATTTCATAGTATTTAAGCAGTGATAAAGGCATTGCATTATAAATATAATTTATTTGAATGAAAATTATAATAATAAGAACTCAGATAAACCATATATTGCCGTAGAAAATTAAAATGATAATAATAACTCGGATAAACCGTATATTGCGTGTTTATTAGTCACGTTGAATCAATGAAAGCAGTTGAATCTTCTGTTTATTCAGCTGCAGCGGTAGGCATTTTCTGGGATTGCTCTGCGAGGCGTATTTGGAGTTTCAGCGCGAGAGAGCCCTCTGGCCTTTGGATGGAGATTTACTGCTGATCACAGAACCGTGCTTCACTGAAAGATACGCATGACAATCGCAGCTTCTGTCGAATCGCAATCTCGATTCCATTTCGATTTATCGTGCTGCCCTACTGATAAGTGTTACTTATTTTTGTCAACCTGGCAACCATGTCCTCGCGCACTCTCTCCGCTGTGGATAAAAGCGCTGGCTTTCTGAAAACACAGGTAAGATTGCAGTTTAGCGATCTCCACTTCGATATTCTATTCTCAGAAAAGTGTCATTCATCAAGTGTTCATTTACGAGAGAGACGGTGTATTTAAGAATTGCCTCCGTTTTTGCCACGTTTCTCTATTAACAGTGAAGCGGTGGCTTTAATTGCTTCAGAAACGATGTTACCAACTCTTTGCTGAGAAAAATAATGTAGCTCTTCAGCAGTGAAGCTCTTTTAATTATGAAATTGTGGGGCAGCGCTAAAGTTTCTGTGTTGCTGAATGTCTGTGTGCGTGCACAGTGTGATCTGTTTGAGTGACTGAATGTGTGCGCGTGAGCTACAGAGAAGACAGCGCATTAGTTAAGAAATTTTTCAACTTAAAATTTTAGTTTTTACTTTTTTTAAACAGAGAGTGTTAATTTGTGCAATGATAACCTACCAGCAATGTAAGGTGATTTTATTAATATAATGAGTACAGAGTACATTAGAACAAGTACATTATTTATGGGCTTAAAAATAAGATGCAAACAATCAGAATATTGTACCTGGTGGGGAGTGCCCAATGTTAACAGGAAACCTATGCCATTACCTATATTGTAATACTGTGGTACAGCAGGCTGTTCATAATGCAGAGGTCAACTGCCTGCTCTGCCTATAGTTAGCAATGGCCCTACAGTATGCAGTGTTTAATAAACAGCTGTTATACTAAATTCTGCTGAGCTGAAAATGAGTGCAGTCCCGTATCGGCATATCGTATCGTGACTTTGTTGGCAATACACAGCCCTACCACTTACAATTAAAACAAGCAGAATAACAAATTAAGAACAAAAGTTTCTGTCGCTCTCTCTAAACCTGCTCTGTGAGTTTGAAACACTCAGCAGCATCAGACACTCTCCGTATGAAAGAGTGGCGATTCATACCTTTCTATTTCCACCCCCACGATGAAGCTACTGAACAGCCCCAAACCCCAACCCCCTTCGACTGGACTGGACTGAATGCAGAAACTGCTGGACAGCCTAATATTTGTTGCTCAGTGTAAAACGGACATACACTTTAGAACTTTAGAAGTAAAAAATTTGTGTAATATAAGCAGTGTTTTAGAACTGCAGAACACGAACACACACACCTATATTAATCAATTTATATATTTTTTAAAAAGTCTAAAAAAAGAATAAACAAGCAAAATGTATGTATAAGGCAAATAATAATAATCATTTAAAACATGGTTTAATTAATTCAACAAATTTTAATACAAAGGAACAACTTAATAAAAAGTGATCAACAATTTCTTAATTCATGGACATTATAATTTTTGGCATGTCATGAACAGGGCTCTATATACGGGAATTCATGTTTGAAAAAAAGGACAGATAACGAATAAGCATGCTTGACCTGCTAAAATGCATCAGCAAATTATTAAATTAAGTTTTACCATGATATCAATGTGACAATGGTGCCAAAATATGTTAGACCTATGCCTATATCACTCATAACCTTCCTGTTAACAATAATCCACCTTTTCTCTTTTTTTTATGGCATAATGCACACCTCTTTAAATGTGACCTAAACATTCAATAAAATACTGGCTGGTACAGTACAGTGAAAAGTAAGCACAGCTCAAGCACTGTCATCACTGTATTTCACTGTGACAGTGATCAAATAGCTGGAACATTAAACATTTAGGCTATATGATGAATAATTTGATATTACCACTGAATTATTACATTATATTTTATCTTTATTTACAAGTGAAAATGTCACAATTCCAGCTTTGAGCGATGGTGTCAACTGTCCCTTTGTGCCACCTGGTGGTGATTTCGCAACGAGTTTCACATGTGACTGGGTTTTATTTAACACCGGGGCCTTGCAGTGGTGGTAATAGGCATTTTGGTTGACTACATACTGTAATATGACAATGTCCACAGACAAAGTATTTCTAGTCCTTTTAAAAGTGTGATAATGAACAGGAAGATTTAGTGTAGATTTGATGTGGTTCTCTTACCTCTTCTTTAGTTTTTTCCCTTCTTCTTTGGAGGCAGGCAGGATCATAGCCAAGTATGGCCCATCAACTTCAAAGAAGATGCTGTTTTCAGCTCTGGTCTCATATGTTAGAGATGCTGGGTCCACCAGCTCTTGATACTGATGATTCGTGAAGCCCTCCTACACATACAAGTGACAAAAATGATAAAAAGGGGATCATTTCAGATTATCATTAGATGTTCCCTTTTAACCATCATTTTGAAGAGCTCTTCCTTTTTAAAGGGGACATCAGATGCCCATTTTCCATAAATTGGTATGATTCTTTAGGGTCTTCATGAAATGTCTGCAACATACTTTGGTTTAAATTTCTCAATGGTCATATAAAGCAACACCCTTTTTACCTTGTCAAAATCAGCTCTGCTCACAGAGACCTGTTTCGGTGCATGTCTCTTTAAATGATAATGAGCAACTGCTCACCCCACTCCTTGTTTTTTTTGTAATCTGGCGTGTTACCATCAGAAACAAAACTAATCCACTGCATTCTCAGTGGCTCTGATGTCGGGAGAAAATGAAGACTTTTGTGTTCACTTTTAACATCCAACTACAAAACACCTGCTTTGCTTATGAGGCATTGTTGTCGCTGCAGCTGCTCGAGCGTGGAGAAAATAGCAGACAGCGTACAACTGGGTGAGGGCGGAAATATGCTAATACCGAACAGTCTGTCAGTGGTCGCAGGCGCGGCCTGAGCAGCATAATATCATACTGCTCAGAAAATCAAAACGGCTTGATAATTGAGACGGTTAAGGTTTTTTGGGGATAAAAAAATAAATAAAGGAGTGTATGGATTTTTATCATTGTAGGGTGGTTGTGTCTACACACTGCGAAGACGCATTAACATGCAAACACAATGTAAAAGTAAATTTTGCATCCAATGTCCCCTTTAACATAAAAATTAACTATAATGTCGAAAATGTGGTTTACTGGTCAAAAGAGGAGCAAGATAAATTACCTTGACCATGATATTCAGCATGGCTCCTGGATAACTGATGGTCACCTTTGGCTTCTTTTCATTGGTGGATTTTATGACAAAGTTCTCAGGAAAGGTGTTGGGAAGAACACACCAGATACCATCAGTGTCCAATTCCAGAGGCCTCCTAAAGGAGAAGAGGATAAATTCAATGAATCAATCCTTTACAATAAATTAATCACATAACCACAACTCTGACAGTGTTTATGGGTTTTGTGTAAGAGTCTGACCCGATCTGCTCAATGAGTTCTCTGGCCTGTGTGATAATGTTGGCACCGGTGAAACAGACAATCCCTGCCATCTCCATCGAGTACCAACGTGCTCTATGAAACATAATATGAAACCATGTAAAACAGGAATTAAGAAACAAAGAGCAATCTCAGCAACTACAGAAGACAAGAAACTCCTCAGTAGGGCTGGACAATAATTCAATATCAATATGTATCGCAATATTATTTTTTTCAATAACTGTGATATGATTTTTAAACACATTTCCGATATACATTACCAGTTTCCCATACATTTATTTATTTGTGTCGTTTGACTTCGTTGAATAAACATGAGCACTGCACGTTTCAAAATCATAACACGGCGCGGGTGTTTTATATGAATATATCTCTGAAGGGAACCGACTGTCTTCAGAAAAGTTTCGATGGCATTTTCATTTGATCTGATAAAGTAGCATTCATGAGCGGAGCTGCTTTGATTACAGCCATTACCGGGGAAACCGCTAGTTTTATCACTCTAAAAGCACCTCCTGCTGGCAGAGACGAAAACGATTGGTCAAAAAACATTTTCGGAAACTGAAATAAAATAAAAAAAATAAAAATAAATTGATGTGTGTCGGTTTATGGAAATACCGGGAAATACCCGTAAATGGCGCATCATGCACGTGAGGTTATCTGACGGAGAGACGCAAAGCAGTTTAAAGCAGAGTCCTGCACGGGTCCTGTTAGGTAAACCTGCATCCGCAGTAGCTACACAACAGAACACATGACCCGTTATCCGACAGCAGCCAGCACCAATTTAATTCTGTACCAGACCCGTTTGACAAAGACCGCGACCTGAACCGCACCCGCATTAAATAGGCTACTGCATCAGTAAGGCATCAAAAATTATTTATTTTCTCATGTGACAAGCAATCAAACCAAAATGGGCATTTTAAGTTGGTGCTTTGAAGAGAAATAGACAAGCAGCGCAACAGAAGAACGCACATCCTTCCTAAAAGTAAAATTTTTATACATTTTTTGGGAAAGAAATTATAGAAATTAATAATTTTATTTAGCAAGGATGCTTAAAATTGATCAAAAGTGATGATAAAGGCATTTATAGTGTTACAAAAGATTTCTATTTCAGATAAATAGTGTTCATATCGATATCGGAATTATATCGTATCGACCGAAATTAAGAAATATATCGTGATATAAATTTTGGCCATATCGTCCAGCCCTACTCCTCAGGTATATCTGCTCTAGAACGGGGCAATAAAAGCGCCTCAAAAACAATGGTTCAATACCCTTTTCTCATGACATATCCATAGAAGGAGTTGAGGATGCACTTGTGCGCCAGCTGCAGAGACTCATAGAGAATCTCCATGTTCTTGCAGCGCTTCACCTCCGCTGCGTCCCCGTTATCCTGCGCTGTAGACAGCTTCTTCTTCCACACCTGGACAGATTATAGGAACAGACAAAACATTTAAAAGGAGATATATGAATGATTCCTTCCGGCATAGCCGAGCACACTGAACTATCACATTAAAAGAGGATATATCCTAGAAAAACATATCCTTTTGAAATAGAAGAGTTTGAAGTGCTATTTAGACAGACTGTAACATTCATAAAATAATAAACAAATAAACATTATTTAGGTCTGAATGCAGTACCTTGTGGAGGCCTTTGAACTCATATCGACGGTCTCTGAAGGCTCGAACCGTGTCAACATAAAAGGAGTTCTCTCTCTGGCAAATGGTAGTGACTCTCTCCTCCAGTCTGGTCAGGTGAACCTTCTTATAGGCTTTTCTACAGTAGTCTAAGAAAACAAATACAATGTAATAATTAGGGCTGCTCCGATCAGGATTTTTGCAGCCGATACAGAGTACCGATTTCTTGTCATGGTGATCGGTCGATACCAATGCCATTTCTGATGCTTCAAGCTTTATATAACATGTGTAACAAATGTTATATAAATAATCACAAAAATTATTCTTCATACAGTGAACATTTTAATATGCCTTTCAAATGTGGTTTATGCATAACATTATGTATATCAGGATACTTAATATAAGACAAAAATAAATACAAACACAATGAAGCAGTCCGATGCAACCCACAAGGTTTATTTAAACATTATCCAATAGTAAAGTGTGGAGGACAAAATAAACATTTAATCTTCTAAAATTGAGAAGTCTGATGTAACTTAAACATTGCCCAACACAAGTCTGAGCAGGACAAAATTAATAATAATAAAAAAAACATTTAAACTCCTAAAATAACTAATTGGAGTAGTTTGATACAGTTCATTAGGTTTAATTTAACATTGTCCAATGTTAGAGAGAGGACAAAATAAATAGAAACATTTAAACTCCAACATGGAGAAGTCTAATGTAACGCATAAGGTTTAATACCATCCAATATAAGACTGAAGAGGGAAAAAGAAACAGAAACATTTAAACTACCGAAAGAACAAAACGGAATAGTTCGATCACGGTTATATCCACTGGCGCTGCGGATAATCCGCGGGTTGGGTAATAAAAAAAAGTGCATTCTGATTATTTGCGGGTGGATAAAATAGATCATAAATTATGCAAATATTAACTACATTTTTTCATCAGGCAGACGATTTCATTTGTGTGTGTGTTCGCCAGATCAGGAAGTTGCAGTGACAGAAACGGTGACATTCCAGATGAAGTTTGAAAGAAGTAAAGCCTGTGTTAATGCTATTGAGTAGGCTAATATGGCCAAAGAAGGTATTTTGTTTTATAAAAAAAAAATTCATTTAAAAGCAGCCCACGATCAGCGTATTACCGTTACCCCTTACGGATCCGACGAGGTTTTGTTCCGTCCTCCACGCTGTGACAACTCAAAAAAGACTATTTTAGCCAAGCAGCGCAGAGAGCAGCTTCAGAAACGTGCCGTGGCTGGCCAGTTTAAACACAAGCATTGACTAGAGCGGCCGCGATCAGTTCCGGTTCCCGGAGTATAATTAAAGCCCATCTTGGTCTATGACAATAGTCACACAAATAAACAAAACCTAGTTCCCAGCAGGTGGATACTGACCTCCCAACCGCTTCTTCTCATGCCGGGCCTGCTCTTCTCTGTTGAGCACATGGAAAGCACGAGGTGGACCATTAGGAAAGAAAGGGGGAAACTTCTCCGACTCCAATTGTTGCTGAATGCGATGAAACTCACTTCTACTGGCAGGCACTAGGAGGAAAAACAAAAATTATATTAACATTTCATAATAATTATGTTTAAAATGGTTTATAAACAACATTTTACTTTTCATTTACTTTCAGTGTCAATGACAATCATTCTAATATGCTGACTTGCAGCTCAAGAAACATTTCTTATTATTTACCAATGTTGAAAACAGTTGTGCTGCTTAATATTTGTGTGCAAACCATGACAAATGTAGGATTCTTTGATGAATGGAAAGTTCAAAAGAACATTTGAACAACATTTATTTGAAATTATTAGAAATCTGTTGTAACAAATGTCTTTACTGTGACTTTAATCAATTGAATGCATCTGTGCTGAATAAAAACATTCATTTATTTTTAAAAAATTAACCTCTCCTCAAAGATATAAGATGTTCAAATCACTCACTGATCTCTCCTCTCCACTGCCAAGTCATCCTGCGCTGACAGTTTGCACCAGGTTTATTAAAATCACAGGCGGCACAGGTCGCCTCATCCACCATGGCAGAAGGCTAGAAGAAAAAATAAACAAATGGAGAGAAAGAGATGATTTGTCTTATTTGATTTATATACAGCTAAACGGGACAAACTAGAATTTGTCTAGTAATGTCATTACAATTAAATAAATTCCTGTACAACCAATCCAAGATGAGAACTGTACTGTACCTGTAGTCTGTTGGTGAGGATGATGTTGGGGTACATGGCCCCCACATCCAGATGGTAAATAAGAGGACACTCAATTCTATTGGGAACTTCCTTCAGAGAGATCAGCTTCCTCTTGATCTCATCACACACCTGAAACAAGTAAAATTCACGTAACAACTGGAGAATAACTCAGATACATGTATGAATGCGAATATTAATTCTTAAAATAGGCATCATGTCTCAAATGTCTAAAGGCACATATTGTCATACTGAACATTAAACACATGACTCCGACTGACCTCATTAAAGTTGGTGACCTGCTCAAGGGGAATCTTCTCCTCTTCCTCAATTGCATGACGAAGAGTGCGTTCCACCCTCTGAAGCAAGAAGTCAAAGGCTGCTGGATTCTGTCAGAACAAGATTAATTATAAGTAATTATGCAGATACAGCACAAATAAAGCAACTCAGAACAGTGCGCTTTGGTTAAAAATGGACTCCTAGTTACCATTTTAAAGCGGCAGGGGATATCACTGCGAAACACACCAGACTCTAGAGCCTCGACGTGGCCACCAACATAAGTCTCAGAATCAAGTACATGACCATCATCTGTGAGTTTGTTAAAGACCTGCTCCTGCTTGTTTGGGAAAACAATGTTGACATGGAAGGCCTGAACCATCAGCAAGGCTTCGCACAGGGTACCGGAGCCTTTTCGCAAAACCTGTTTACACATGTGTGTTGACACACATATAAAGCAACACAATGATGTTAAAAACTATTACATCAACAGCTTTGATTCATCACAGCGTAGTAACAATAAAAATAATGAATACACTATGAATACAATAAAAATAGTGAATAACAGATTTAGTGAATACAGACCTCATCGGGTTCCATAGGAATTATGGTGCAGAGGGCAAAAATGAAGGGATGAACATATTTCATGTAAAGGTAATATGTGGCCACAGCGTCAGACACTGAATAGGTGGCCAGAGTCTGAAAAACAACAATACAGCACATCAAGCAAAAGTGAGCACTGTATTGAATATTTAATAAAGGAATGAAATATACATATATATAAAAAAAAAACAATAAGAATGAATGAATGAAGTGCAAATTGACAAAATCATTAGCCAATCAGAACATATTTAATGTTTAATATAAAGCTATAGTAAGAAAGATTTTAGACCAATGAGATTCTATTATTGAACGCACAATACATTAAAAATGATAACTGACCAGCTAAATGTCCTTCTGCAACTGTTGCTGGTAAGGACACAAACTTATATTAACATAGTATGGACTGTGTGTCACATCATGCCCAGTTAGGAAATGGTGTTACACATTAAGAACAGTGTTGAAATTAATTCATTTTGCCTGATAGCTTTCTAAAATTCATAAATCTCTGAAATACAGTATGTTGATTACATGTTTATGGTGTAAGCGAACAGTCATTCATATTAGTAAGTGTGAAAGTTGGGAGCTGGAGATAAAAGGAAGGGCACCTGTGGTTCTTCAGTAGCCATACGACACATCTCCTCTGGGTCCAGCTCTACAGGGTCATAGCCTAACTTAGCTTTCGCTGCAGCCTTGAGGTTATGACTTCCTACTGGCAGGTAACTGTCTCTCTTTACCCACCTTAATAAAGAGAGAGAGAGAGAGAGAGAGAGAGAGAGAAAGACACTGTATAATATACTAATATAAAGTCATGCATATTAGTGCTGTGTTCGATACATCAATACGACGATGTATTGTCACAGAGATTTGACGATACGAGTATCGATACAGCTGTCCCTGTATCGATATTGTGGCAAGTGTGCAGCAGTGGACCGTGCTTAATTTGAATACAAGAACAACGTTTAAAATTGAGCAGAAAAGTGCGAGGTTTCTAAAAAAATAATTAATAGAGCATAATATATAGGCTATAACAAGCGTTAATCTGGCCGCAGAGGAACACAACTGGGTTGTCTGATATAAAGAGACGTAATCCCCGAAACAGAGCTTCCCACTTGTGCAATACGGAAATATCTGCTAAATGTGTTACCTATCTTGGTCAACCTGGCAACCATACACGTACTCTCTCTCCGCTGTGGATAAATGTGCTTGCTTTCTGAAAACACCGGTTTTAGTTTTCGCTTGCAGTTTAGCGATCTCCACCTCAATATTCTATTCTCAGAAAAGTGTAATTCATCAAGTGTTCATTTATATGAGAGAGAGAGAGAGAGAGAGAGAGAGAGAGAGAGAG